AAGGGGGAAGAGGGAGAGAGGGAGGGAGGGAGGGAGGGAGGGAGGGAGGGAGGGAGGGAGGCAAACACATTTCCCCTTCAGAAGAAAGGAGTAAGAGCAAAAGGTCATCTGGTCAGATCTGTTTAGGAATTGGAAATAGTAGTGCAGATATTATAGCGGGTGGGGGGCTGGGGGGGCCGGAAAGGATATACAGTTAAGTAAAATTACGTTCAGTTCTTCAGAAAGGACAACTACAGGCAGCAGACTCAAATGGAGAGCCCTCTGTGCAGCTAATACATGGACCATATTAACGTGAAAGCCATGTATAGATCACCCATCCATACACAAAATGGATTCGTAGAGTTCTGCATGAACTTTTAAAGCAACAGTGTGTCACCAGAGGCAGAGCAGTCATTGGTCCCTCTATCAAGGAACACTTTTGAATTGAATCTGTCAGAAGGACTGAACATACCACAAATAAACCCACACAGGAATGTTCTAGAAAGTCAGACCCATATACCAGTTCAGAGAGCAACCTTCCCCCATCTAAACTTGAATCTCATGAGAGACCCACGATCTCACCTAGCAGCATCAGAGCTAGACCTGTTACAAATAACATCTTTAAGACTGTCAGATCTTTCTGCATTAATCTCTAGAAGGGGCAGTAGAATGCAAATGCATAACAAACCTTAAATAAAGATGGTAAAAAGCAGTTTCTCTTTCAGAAGGCAGATGCCAAAGTAGCAGAGCGACTTAAAAAGATGATTATAAAATACACATTGTATCAGGAGAGCATAACAATATTAACAGTAATAGCAAAGGATAATAAATGCACAAAATACAATAAAGACTTACCAAACACTGAATTCATGATAAACTGGAAATAGAAACAAGGACAAATAAAGCCAACCAGAAACCCAAGGAATGGCTTCACATTCAGAATGACACAAGTAAATAAGAGACACACCCCCACCATGTCATTCAAAATATATCAGGCATGTGTAGGATTTGCTCAACAGTTCCCATGTGACACAACAAACTGGAACTTTGCATGTGCCCTGGCGCCAGGCACAGGGCCAGTTGTACAGTTGCTGTGCAGTAAACACACACTGTGGAATATTCATTGGTGCTCATCAAAAAGTGCGAAAGGAACAATGTCTAAACGAAGGGGTGGCAGCAGGAGGGGTGAGAGAGAGGCAGAAACACACCTTGCCCACGTGGCTGTTCCTGACATAGAGCTCTCACATAGGCCAGTGGGAACTGAACCAGTCACGTGATACAAATGAATTAGGAAGTCTTTCTAGGGATAAAACCAAGTGATTTTCATTTTGGTAAAAATTCTAGTAGAAAAGAGCCTTACAGTCACCATTTTTTTAAAATCCACTCCTCATTTTCAAGATATGGAGAATATTTGCTAGTAACTTAAAACCTTTATCTTATTCAAATGTTGCTTACACACTCCTGGTTTCAATGCTTTGTTAAAGAAAATTCCTGGGGCTAGGAATGTGGCCTAGTGGTAGAGTGCTTGCCTAGCATACATGAAGCCTTGGGTTCGATTCCTTAGTACCACATAAACAGAAAAAACTGGAAGTGGTGCTGTGACTCAATTGGTACAGTGCTAGCTAGCCTTGACCAAAAGAAGCTCAGGGACAGTGCCCGGACCCTGAGTTCAAGCCCTAGGACTGGCAAAAAACAACAAAATTTCCTCTAGGGCTGCAGTTATAGTTCAAGTGTTAGGGCATATTGTCTAGTTAGGTATAAGGCCTTGGGTTCAAACTCCTGAATGGCAAAAAGAGAGGGCAGAGAGAGAATGAAAGAAAGGCAGAGGGTGGGGAGGTAAAGAGAGAGAGAGAAAAATCCTCTTCACATCAATGTTCCAATTTAGGAAGGCTCACCATTCTCCTATATGGGTTTAATGATAGAAGAGACAAAAGCGTAAGTCACTCTCAAAAGAAAACAGACAATTCCTTTGGGGGCTGATTCATGAGAATGACGTTTGGCTCTAAAGCAAGTTTTTACATTTTCTGGCTATGATTCATCAACATTCTGGAGACGGGGATAACTTTAGGATATACTACATCCATGTGGCAAGTTTAAGGGAAAAATGAACTATTGCTTCCTTGGGAAAGGCTTGTTTCAAACAGGAAGCTCCTCTGTCCTGTGACACAACTGCCCCCAATGGAGAGCCAATATCTGCGAAGCCAGGTGGAAGGACCTGCTGTCACATCTTCCTTCTTCTCAAGTGAAAAGCCCCTGGACTCATTCCTGTACTTCTCTGAATCAACTCTGTAGTAAGTAGCAAAAATTAAAATTGAAAACTGAAACTACTCAGTCCCTGCTCCCAACTAACATTTTTCTCAAGGGTAGCAATAACTTCCTTTAAGCCCTGAGTATCTTCTGCCCTTATGAAGGTACCTGGGGAGGGTGAGCTCATCTCAGACTACAACCTGTTTGCAATTGTGAGGATGTGAGGCATGTCGATAAAAATGTGCAAAACAGCTGGACACAGCTGGGCAGCCTCCTTCAATTTAGTCTGTCCCAACAAAGTGATTAAGTTTCAGTTATAATAAAAATAAAATTCACTCCTTATGAAACCAATTCTAAGCCTGTATCAAATGACAAGGCACCTATAAAGAAAAGTCACCTATCACTGATAAAGTTGAAAAAGCTGTGTTCATTCTATTAAAGTCTCATAGGGTCCAAGGTTGAATTACAAAGTGGACTCATATACGCTCAGAAAAACTCCATGTTACAAATCTAAACAGGTCAATAAGTCCTGAGAACAACTTCCTCTCTGCATAACAGCTACAAGGAAACTAACAGACCTACCATATTACAGGTTTCAAAGAACAAGCTTACTGGAAAAAAAAGGGGAGGGGGCAGACTTTAGTCATTTAAATCATAAAAACTTTAGAAATTACTTGAACAAAAGTGTTTATAAGTAACTAGAATCTCCCCATACATTTAGCTTCTGATCCTTGTTTTAGGGGGAAAGAGTGTTTTTTCATTGATTTGGGGTGGGAAAAACTGTAGCTTTTGAGCTCAGTACAATGAACTATTTATCTGGCCTGACAAGGCCAATCAATCTCCCCCCCTCCCTGTTTATTATAAGGAGTAGTAGAATACTGTTCGGCCTGGCTGGGTTGGGGAGAGCCTAACAGTAGCACAAGGCCTGCTACACAATGCTTCCCTTCAGTTGAAATTTATGTTCGGTCCAGGTGACCTAGGAGGTCAGTGCAAAGTCTGGGATAGAATGAAGATGGGTCGCTATGGATTCCATATTTACAGAAAGCCTCCACTGGCTTATTTAGTATGTGAACTGTGTAAGATTAAAAGGTAGGTCTTAAAGCAGCTACAGGTCTAAGGTAGACACCCTTAAAAAGGACTGCAAGTCAAATAAGCCATCCCTTTGAGTTCATTTTTCTGGTGAATGATAAATTCTGTTAGGAGAACTCAAAAACTAGATATTTTTAGTTGTCAAAAAACCAATTATTTGAAGAGTTCTGTTCCTTTGATGATTATTTAAAAGGTTCTCAGCTAGTGTTATTAAACTCATCTAGAGAATTGCCTTAGTTCTTTCTCATGTGAAATGAATGAATTACCTTGAGTCTCTCATTGCATTTACAAACACAGGGCTGTGCAGTGAGGCCTTGCTGTTGGTCAGCATTTGCAGAACTGCTGGGTCCACCAACCCAAAAAGAGCCAGAAGACAGGGATGGCTCAGACCAGCCTGAGAGGCTGGGAGGCAAAAATAAGACTCATTGAACTCTAGCTATCAAATCCAATGAGTTCAAGTTTCAGGAGTTTGGGGAACTTATTTGCAAGGATATAGGTGACACTTTGGGGAAAGACTATAGTTTTACATCAACTCACGCTAATTCTTGAAATGGGAAACCCCTGGCTTTTGTGTGATGAGGAAAATAAAGCAAGTCCTATAGCTGCTAACCAATGTGGGCCTCCTGCCAATATTTCAACTGAATAATTAAAAAAAAAAAAAGGAAACATAGCCCGGGGCAGCTGGAAGAGGGTAGAGAAAGAGGCAGGAAGGAAAAGAGACACAAAGCTAATGTTTCAAGTGCTATGATCAATAGGCAGTTTACTGAAGAAGTTCTTATGCTATCTAAATTTTATGAAAGATTAGCTGCTCCTCCCTGTAGTTATGTAAACTTGTCCTCTTTTTCCTTGTTAACAGAATACTTTATTAAATCATTTCCTACTCTTGCTTTGGAACAACTATTTCCCTTTAAGGAAATAATAAGCCCAGAAAAGCCAGGAGGTGAAGGCTGACCTACTACGGGCTCACTCAGTTCAGTATTTCACCTGGTTGGTCCACAGGCAGGAAATACTGAGGATGTCTACTACAGACCTGAGTAAGGTTGTCTCTGCAATCTTAAATTCTCTCTCATATCATTTCAAACAACAATGATCATCAGCAGAAGATGGGGAAGAAAAATTATAACAAGCTAATATGTAAAAGTCATCCAAGGTCTCCAAAAAGGGAAAACTAGATTGTTAAAGGTGTCTGGGTTAGCTGGATGGATTACCTTCATACATTCTGACTCATAACCCCAAGAAGTCAGGCTCTATGTGTGGGAGCTTGGCAGTTAGAGAAAGACCCTTAGAGGGTTTGCATCAAAGTAAAAGGAGACTGTGGTCATACACAGCTCAACCTACACTGTATCATTCTCTAAATTCACCTTTTATCCGTAAAAATAGATGTGAAAGTGGATGCTAAAAAGTAATCATTTACAAATGTTGTCAACTTTCTTGTGAGGAAAAAAACATTTTTATTAGTTTCCCTTTGTTATAGTAACTAGTTGTGTGTGTGTGTGTGTGTGTGTGTGTGTGTGTGTGTGTGTGTGCGCGCGCACGCGTGTGCGTGCGCGCCTCAAAGTAATATTGAAAGCCAAAAGGGCAAACTCAATCCAATTTTTCAATAATATGAAATTTGACACAGTTCACCCAGAACTTTCCAGTTTTGTTGGTATGCAGAGAGAGGAGCTCTTTCTCCTTTGCCATACCTCGCTTGTTGGTTCTTAGAACTGTTTCAGAAGACAGCAAAGGATTTCCACTGGACACATCGTGCATGGGCTTTTCCGGAGCTTTGCTGGTGAGAAGGTCTTTCTTCACATCTTTCTTTATTTCCTGTGAGACAGATAAAAGGAAAAAAAGATTATAGTTTGAAAAACTTTAGAGTGCCCCTTTTACTATCTTCAGTTTCATTTTTCTGAAAATGAACTATAATAATGCCAAGTCGACTGAACATAATATTTTAGAAACACCATTTCCTATATAATTCCTAGTTGTTTTTTTTCCTTACAGTCATTAGAAAAGCACCTAATGCATCAAAGTAGGATGATACTCAGGATGGTAAGTTAACATTATGTGATGGGAGCCATTCTCAGTGTCCATCAAGAGAGTGACCCGTACATAAAAGCTACCATACAGCTCTAAATGATAGCTTGTTCTACTTCTTTGAATAATAACAAGCTTTCACTAAGCAGACTCACACCTTTTAACAGCCTTCTGATTTCTATTCTTCTCAATAAAGTGTTCAGAGAACTACATTCCCCAATTGCCAATGTGCTCACAATTATACTAACCCAAAAGATGATTTGAACTCATTTACAGTCATTGAGTTCCTCTGATTTTTCAACTCTTGACAGGGAAAAAAACAATGAAGCCAACAGACTAAAATAAAGACTATCATTCTAGGCCAGTGGTCAATAAACTTAGAGCTCACTGTCCCATTTTGCAAGCAAAGTTTCATTAGAACACAACCACATAATGTGTATGTTTGTATGGCTGGTTGGATGTTACAACAGTGGAGCTGAGGATCTGTGACAGAAACCAAAGCCTTAAAATTTGGCCTCTTACAGAAAAGGTTTGCTGATCCTGTTCTAAATAGACTCTTATCAAAGCTCCACTGAGATTTAGATATATTTATTACAGGCTGATAGAATAAATTACAAATCAAACACCCCAATTCCAAACCTCAAATATCAAATATTGTAAAATCCAAAACTTTGAGCACTAAAATGATGCAAGTGGAAAATTCCACACTTGCTCTCCCAAGATGGGTCACAATCAAATCAGAGGCTCACTAAAAATACTACATAAAATTACCTTCATCCTATATCTACAAGAGTACATATGAACCATAAATTCTATATTTAGATGTGGTCTCATCCCTAAGATAGCTCACTAGGTGAATGCAAATATTCTAAAATCAAAACATATCTAAATCTGAGGTCCTTCTGGTTCCAAACACTTTTTTTTTGTTTTTTTGGTTTTTTTGGGTCCGGTTGTGAGGCCTGAACTCTGGGCCTGGGTGCTGTCCCTCAGCTCTTCAGCTCAAGGCTAGTGCTCTACCACTTGAGCCACAGTGCCACTTCCAGCTTTTTTCTCTTTGCTTATGTGGTGCTGAGGAATCGAACCCAGGGCTCAGGCATGCAAGGCAAGCGCTCTACCACTGAGCCACCTTCCCAGCCCTCCAAACACTTTTTTTAGTGCTGGACCTGGGGATTGAACTCAGGGCCTAGGCGCTGTTCCTGAGCTTTTGTGCTCCAGGCTAGCACTCTATCACTTGAGCCACAGTTTCTCTTCTGGCTTTTTTGGCAGTTAATCAGAGATAAAGAGTCTCACAGACTTTCCTACTTGAGCTGGCTTAGAACTTCAATCCTCAGATCTTACTTAGCCTCCTGTATAGATAGGATTACAGGTGTGAGCTCTTGACACCTGGCTCTAAAGACTTTTGATAAAAGATATGTGACCTGTATTTCAAATTATTCACATAATTATTTGCAAAAGCATCAAGAGCTTAGCAATGACAGTAACTCATACATAGTGCAGATCTTAACGGAGCAAGGAGGGTCTAGGCTTGGACTAACCTTATGAGGAGCTAGACATGAAGCTTGGCCGAGTGGCAGGAAGAATAACATAAGGAATGTGTGCTTTAGAAACAGCAGGGGAAGAAATGGGGAAGGATTCCCACTTTAAAATGAGCATAAAGATGGCAAATTTGGTAAGGGGCCATGATGAGGCCTGAGCAGAGGGCTGAGGTAGAAAGAAAACAACAAATGTTTGTCAAACCATTGCCACTGTCCCTTGGCTTTCTTCACCTGCAAGTGTGCATTAGTTGTCATATCCAATTCCCTAACTGGGGAGGTGGGGGGCTCAGTTCACAGCAGCCTGAGCCTCTCTTCCTCCCTCACCAGAGCCCCAGCGGAAACCAGCAAGTGAGGCTGGTGCTTTGCTGGTTGTAAGTTTCAGCAAGCATCCCAGATGCCTGACTAGGCAGAGCTCAGCCTCGGCCAACACCAGTAACCTCTGCACACCAGAGGCGTGTACGCATGTGTGTTGCTATATAGACTTCCACCCTCAGAACAACCTCACAGACAAATGGTATCAAATCTGCAGACAGTGCCTGCCTGAGCCACAGGCCTGTCTGAGCCGCATGATGGCTGCCAGCCAACTATAGCTCTACAAGTACAGATTACAAGCCACTAACTGCATTCATTTCCCCAACAGTTGCTTCTTTGGGGGAAGAACAATTGCTCAGACCTCACTTTCTGTCACAGTGTGGGTATGACTATGCAAACATAAATATCCCCACCCAGGCACAATGTAATGTAGTAATATAACACCCCACTTTGCCAAGCAGTGACTCCAAGAAATTCAGTGGGTCCTGGGGACCACGTGGCCAGTGCTTGCTTAGCACTGCTAATAGCATGAAGCTGGGGGAGGGGGATCTGATCAAAGGTTTGGGAGTTAGGTTAGTCACTTTATAATGCCTTTGAAACTATGGTTCGCAAAGTTTCAGGTCCCAAGCCTCAAGAACAGCATATCATGAGAATCTGGCTAGGAAGCCCTATCCCATCAGGTGTATGTAGGGCTGAGATACAACATCAGAAGGCTGGCCCAGAAGTCCCATATTTCTTTGTTTTCACAATGATAGTTCACATTTGCTCCCCCACCCCCAAAGTCCAACGTTGACCAAAGTTCTTAAGTTGCTTCTTAGATGGAGGTAGGGAGAATACAAAAGTTAAAATATATCCCATGCTGGTGACTCATGCCTGTAATCTTAGCCACTTAGGAGGCTGAGATCTGAGAATCATGGTTCAAAGCCAGCCCAGGCAAGGAAAGTCCCTGAGACTCTTATCTCCAATAAACCATCAGAAAACCAGAAGTGGTACTGTGGCTCAAGTGGTAGAGCACTTGCCTTGAGCTGAACAGCTCAGAGACAGTGCCCAGGCCCAGAGTTCAAGCCCCATGACTGACAAAAAAGAACAAAATATGTCCTACTTTTTTTTTCAGGAAAATACAATCTGGTACGTCATGTGGCAGAGAATTCTGCAGCCTCCTCACCTGAACAACAGTTTAGCTCAGTGCAGCCCCACCTGAGGCCAACACCTGCTCTCCAACTTGCCCCTTTCTCTCAAAAGAAGAGAACCATCTTACCAGGGGTACAAAGGCAGCTTTAGCCAGGCTCCCGTGGCTCACGCCTATAATCCTAGCTACTCAAGATGCTGAGATCTGAGGATAATGGTTCAAAGCCAGCCTGAGCAAGAACATCCGTGAGATTCTTATCTCCAATTAACCAATAGAAAACTGAAAGTGGTGCTGTGGCTCAAGCAGTAGAGTGTTCACCTTGAGCTAAAGAGCGCAGGGACAGCACCCAGGCCCAGAGTTCAAGCCCTACGACAGACAAAAAGAAAAAAAAAAAAAAAAGAAAGTCAGCTTTAGCCCCCTCCCCCATCTAAAATGTTACTAGTCTGGCTTTATCCACTTCCTCAATCTCTGTTTCTCTCTATTCTTCCTCAATTGTGGGGGGAGGGGACACAAATACTAAGCAAAAGATATTAATAGACATTTCTCCAAAGCAAATATTCAAATGGCCAATAAGACTATGACAAAAGGGTCAACATCACAAGTCATTAAAGATTTTTTCTTTTTTTTGTCGGTCATGGGGCTTGAACTCTGGGCCTGGGCGCTGTCCCTCAGCTCTTCAGCTCAAGGTGAGCGCTCTACCTCTTGAGCCACAGCACCACTGCTGGTTTTCTAGTGGTTTATTGGAGATCAGAGTCTCACGGACTTTTCTGTCCGGGCTGGCTTTGAACCGTGATCCTCAGATCTCACACTCCTGAGTAGCTAGGATGACAGGCATGAGCCATCGGCGCCCAGCTTCATTAAGGAAATTGAAATCAAAACCACAAATGTGATGAGAAAATGGAATCTTTGTACATTGCTGAGTGAATGTAAAATTGCACAACATCTGTCAAAAGCTGCAAAGCACGTCTGCAGTTAAACAGAACTATTATATGTCCCAGCAATTCTACTCCTAGGAATATACTCAAAAGAATTGAAAGCAGGGGTGCAGACAGATATATGCATACCACGATATTATTAACCAGAGCCAAAAGGCGGAAGTAACCCAAGTGACAATGAACAGACAAATGGATAAACAGGATGTGGTATATCTATACATAGGAATATTACTTGGTCTCAAAAAGGAAAAGTTCTCATACATGCTATAACATAGATGAACCTAGAAAACATGAAAAGTGAAATAAGCCAAAAACAAAATAACAAATCTATTATCCCACTTATGTGACTCATTTAGAAAAAGTAAACTCAGAAAGTAAATGAGAAATTTCCTAGCGGGAGGAGAAACCAGTTACTGTTTTAACGGTTACAGGTTTTGAATAATGGGAAAGTTTTTGAAATAGTGGTGATTATACAACATTATAATATAATCAATACCACTGGCTATTAAAAGTTAAAATTAACTATCAATAAAAACAAATTTGGATGGAAGTGGTAATCCTAGCTCTCAGGAGGCTGAGATCTGTGATTGTGGTTCAAATCCAGGGCAGAAAAGTCCATGTGACTCAGATAGATAGGTAGGTAGGTAATAGATAGATAGATAGATAGATAGATAGATAGATAGATAGATAGATAGATAATTTCATATATCTTGCAATAAAAATGGAAAAAAAAACTCCTCAACATGAATACTATCTAATGTATGAATGTTTATTGTGTGCCAGACTCTGCTCTAAGAACTTCATCTAGATGGAACTTTTTCATCTGTACAAAGTCACAGATAAACACACCAAGATGCAGGAAGAGTAGGAGCCAGTAGT